ACACACCCTAACCATTTTTAATTTGATACATTGGATTTTAATCTGAATCAGTCTTAGGGATCATGGGATGTCTTCCTTTTCAAGGAAGGAAGACAAAAGAGGGTTTTTGCAGCCTAATGGATTTCATGAGACTAAGAGCTTCTTGGCAAAGGTACGGGTAATGTTGTCTAATTTTTGTTTTGAAGGTGATAGTGATTTTTTACTATGCCTTGCAATTAGGTTACAGTTAAGTCTTGTCAATAAGATGAAGATAATATAAAAATAAAAGCTACAGAAGTCTCAGCAGATTTTACTTCGCTAGTTATTTAGGGTATTTTGATTATTAGGGTAGGTGCTCATCTCCATTTCAAGGCCATTGAGAGAATGTTGAGCAGTGTTGCCTTCCCACTGAAGTGGTACCTATTTATATGCTTCCCAACTGCTAGGTTGGCAGGAGCTGGGGTGAAGATGGGAGCTCACCCCGTCACATGGCACTTAGATCTTGAACCTGGCTGCCAGCTTTTCTAGCAGACAAGCCCAGCACCTTAACTGCTGAGCCCCCACACCTTAATAAGGGTAATACAGACAGATTGTGAAGTTTTGGAAGCAGTTAAGCCTTGCAGGATGACAGCTTAATTCTGCTGTCAGCATATTAAAAAATTGATGAGGGAATTTAGCCAGATAACTTATTTTTTAAATTAATTGTTCAGAGACTTTGGAAAAAGAGTCTAGAAACCTTTAAAAGATTTCTTCCCAGAATTTTATCTTGACTATGCTGTGATTTTTTAAAATATGGATTTGACATTTTTATAATTGAATGCAAACTACTTTTACAGTTAATTTGAATGTAGGAGGAGTAAGCAGTATTTTGAAGAAATGTATTACTTTAGCCCTTTTCTCTGTTCATAAATGATTATTTGTGACGTATACAAATTCTGTATTATAAACACTTTCTAAATTTCATTATCTGTCAATTTCAGTATAGATAGTCCTTGAGCTATGACGGCAGTTGTAATCAATTTGGTCATAAAACAACATCACATGACTATCAGTGATGACAATTCCAGCAGTATCCAGTAGCCATTGTTAAATAAGGATTGTGTAGGTTGTTGAGGACCTTACGTAATCATAAATTTTCTATTTCCTGCTGGTTTTCCCCATTGTCTTTGCTTGTAGAAAGCCAGCATGGAGCATTAGAAATTGTGAACATGTAACCAACAACATGCTATGGTTTAATTGTAAGCCAAGTATTGAGAACTAAGATTGTAATCATGTGGGTATGGGAGCCCTATGATGGCTGGAACTCCATGGATCTATCATGTCCCCCCCACCTCCTTACACAGCATTATCATAACTTTGAATGGTATTGAATCATTCAATACCATTCAAACCAGTCATAACCTGAGGGCTAGTTGTACTCATCCAGGTGATTGTTTGTCCCAGTAATAATTAGAGAAGGGAAAATGTGAAAACTTTTAAAATTTATTTCTGGAAAATTTTTATTTTAACTATTTTGTGGAAAATAGTTATGGAGTGACAGGCATTGGTCTGTGTTTTTGGAAATTCATTGAATAAAGAAATAAAACAACAATATATTCAGAAAGTGATGTGTGATACAAGTATGTATTCTCAGTCTCTTTGTCACTCCCAATTAATATTTGCTTTATCCGTTTGATACAGTGGATGACAACATTTAGAATATGTAAACTTCCTATGTTTTCTTCAAAAATTCTAGAAATTTTACATATGTTTGGTTAGTTACAAGGGAACAGCTACCTCAAATACTTGTACAGAGACCATGACAGAAGATTGGATTTTACACACACACACACACGCGCGCGCGCACACACACACACACACACACACACACACACACACCATTAT